GTCGTGTGTGTCTGTGTGTGTGTGTGTGTGTGTGTAATTTAGCAAGATAACTCAAGAAGCAGTGGATGGATTGGAATGAAACTTGGTAGGTGGGTAGGTCTTCATGAGACCTAGAAATGATTAGATTTTGGGCCCCCTGGCGGCTTTCCTAGGTACTGCAGCAGAACTTCCGGTTTTGATATCTCGTGATCTGGACATGCTAGGGTCACGAATTTTGGATGGAAGATAGCTCTTGGGATAGAGAAGAAGTGACATGAGTTTGGGTCCCCTAGCGCCTTGTTCTGGAACTGCAGGAGCTATTTGTTGAGAAAAAAATCGAAGGACGATAACTCAAGAACCGGTTGACGTATTGTCGTGATTTTGTGTATGTAGGTAGTTGAGGTGATGCTTGACATAATCAGATGGCAATTATGCAAATCAGGACTTAATTTGCATAATTAATGAAGAAATTCTATAAATCTGCTTTGTTCAATAATAGAACTATGAAACACTTGTGACATCTACTTGAGAACGAGAAAAACATCTGAGGATATAGATAATGTAAATGAGGACCTAATTTGCATAATAAATGGAAATTTTTTATGATTCCATAGTTACTGCTGCACCCCGAATTTCATGCTTGCCACATTTGGAAGTTAAGTTAAGGTGAACATCAATAAACATAATTTATTCAAATAATGACCTCATTTGCATAATTTATGAGGGAGTGCTATAATAGCCTTTTTGTTATGATAAGGCCGTCATTGGATGGAGAATATGATCAACTGATATAATCCATGCAAATGAGGCTCTTATTTACAAAATCAATGATCAAAATTGTATAATTCGTCACCCGCAAGGGTTAACATAATTGGCGAAGGTATGAGATCTTGGAACTCTTGTTAAGAACAGCCCTCCCGCTAGGAGCCCCGTAAGTTTAGACGCGGGGGCGTTGAGTGATTGAGTAACTGAAGTCTTAAGTAATGACGTCATTGGAGGTTAAAGCCACAAATCACAGGAAACAGAGACGTGACTTCGGCGGCACACACTGGAGTACAAGTACAGTAGTCAAGTCTCGGTCTCCTGAAGTAACGACTTCAGACAAAGCGGGGCCTTGGTGTAACGTAAACATGACACCGTACAGGTGAACAAAGACAGACACGGGTCACTGAGCGGAGACATGATAGGTATTACACACCGCACTTAGGAACTCGTCAGACATTCCTGACGTAAAAAGTCAATTTGTCCGCCCCCGGTCTCAGGGAGTAGGCTCTATCCTCCGTTGCTAATTCCACAGGTGTGCCTAGTGGAGCCTGCAATAACTAGGCTAAATCTGGTTATAGTTGGATAATTCTGTGCTACACTTTTTACCAAACTCATCACAAGGCCACCCTTAAGCTGAATCTGGGATGGATGAATTGCCGGCGGAGTTACTTGCTTGAGTAATTTTTACATGTACATTTACTTGGATCTTCTTGACACCGTTATTGTTTTGCGTCCACAGATATATAAGACATGGCAAGTTGTGGATGGCTGTGGTCCATCATGTGGATCATCCTGTTGGTGGTTATAGGCTGGCCCCTCGGGCTGCTCTGCGCCGTGCTGTACGTTTTTATATCCCCGTTTCAGGTAAGGACGTCGCCCTTTCTTTCCGCTACTTATTTATTTATTTCATCACAAGACGGCTGGGTGTCCCCATTCAGCTTGTATCATAGCTGTTTTCCAAGGGGACCCAAAACTATCAGAACTGTAGCCTGGGTGCAATTCTATTTAGTTTACTGGCTACTACCACTATTTTTCTAGCAACATTTTAAGAATGGTAGAGATCATAATGAAAGACGAACGATGTGTGGCAATCATATTGCTTTTGCTGAGGCTCGAAACAATTTTCCATGAACCACCTCCCTTCTCCCTCCCCGCCCAGGCGTGTTGCTCGTGTGGAGGATGTCCGGAGTTCATCAGTCTACTGAACAGAGGCGTGAACCTGCCGCTCACCTGCGCCAAGAACATGGTCAGCCAGTCCGCGCCCTGCTAGCGTGTTCAAGTCCGAACTGCCAGCTGTAGTTCACTCATCTCCAAGCAGATGCTGGGGTGGTTTTCTGACTGCCAGGTTTCTGATAGCGGCCCCCTGATCTTCCACCCCAACATGTGCTTGGAGATTACAGTTCATTGTCCCTATCATATCAAAGCAGTTTTAGTTACATTTCTTTGTTAGCAACAGAATTTATCATTTTTTTATACGGTTGGAAAAGCAAAATGCCTTTTTCTGACAAGCACGGCTATAGATACGTAGTTTGACATCCTAGTTTCCAAGAGCTCCGAAAGACGCACTTCTATTAAAGTTCTTAGCATTATTTTGGGAAGAATAGAGTATAGGGGACCCTTTGAAACGGCTAATAAATACATCTGACACTGTGCAGCAATCAAGTGTCTATGCCAGTGAATTGTTATGTAACTTTTCTTCTGATTTGTAATTAGGTTTACTAGCTTGCTCAAGATCTATGCCGTTTTGCACCCCTTTAGCCAAGTCATAGAACATTAAGTTCCTACTACACATACTAATACTGCACACCAGATATTTGCACACCAAGTTCAGGTTCAAATGATGGTGCTACACATTTACTAATGGTGTTATTACAGTTATAAAAATGTTGGACCAAATTAATGTCTACTCTTAAGATATTTAAGGTGGAAAACTTTGTTCAGGCACATTCATCATTTTTCTTCTGAACTGTGAAATATGTTCTTGCCATGGAGCTAGAACATGGGGTCACCAATCTAGGAAAATGTGAACTGGAGCCCCATGTCAGAGCTGTGTCCTCAAAGTCTATATGGCATCCTTATCATAAATTTTTACACAATAAAGAAAGATATTGACGCCCATGGTGTCTTTAGTCTTTATTAGAAACACTACGATATATTTACATTTCACAAAGGGGAAGACAATGTCAAGCCCTTTGCAGGACGACGAAGTACTAGTATATAAAAAAAGATCAACAGTAAAAGATGAGAAAAGACCTTCTGAAATTAAACATTTTCTAAAACTAAATGCACCTTTGACAGAGAGATGATAAGACAGTTGTAGTACATGAGTACAAAATAAATGGTAGTTTCATTCAAAATGTACTTATACTTATCCTCTAAAAAAGACACATGACAGCTGCCAATAAAACTTGTAAAATGTTCTAGATTACAATTAATGAATTTATATACCTACATATTAATCATAGAAAGTATCATCAGAATAGCCTTTTTCCTGTCTTCAAGGAATTTTCAGCATCATGAAACATTTGTGAATTACAAGTCTGAACAATTTTGGTATATCACACTACAAACACAAGTTCCAATTATCAGTTAGTTGCTGTATCAGCTCTCAATAATCAAGCTTTGTGAAGAAACAGAGAAGAGAAAGAATAGGAGAGTCAAGAACACTAGACATGATAATGAAGTAGCAAATAATGTTTCAACAGTCTGGTCACATGTGCTGGCATTGTTGAAGCTTTCGTCACACGAAACATTACAAAAGCTCCATTATTTTCAAAAGTTTGACTACACTTGTCTTCTGTCAAACCTTATGTAGACAAGAACAAATTCTACAGCTACTAGTATTCTAGTATCCCATGATTTAGCATTCAATCCCTCTTCTGGCCAGCATGCGGCTGTCCTTGGCCCTCCCCCTGTTCTCCTGCATCTTCTTGCGTCTGTCGTCCCTGTGGAAAGGCATCGTAATCATGGGACACGGCACAAAATCTGGAAATCCTTTACCACGAGCAATCAAGAACATGGGATAAGTATGAGAACATATTGGGTGGGTAACGCGGACAGTTACCAACCTAACATCATCGGTTAGTCAAGAAAGTGTTCCTAGAAATAATACATGTGCAGTAAAAGTAGCATGTATCGTCCAATGCCATGATGGTTTTCATAGTATACATAAAAGAAGTGTGGCATGGGTACAAAATAAATGTAAACCTCCCTCACAGGTTGGTCGACTTACCGACTCTTGATGACTGGCCTCTTGTACATCTGCTTTGCCTGCAGGTACCTGTCCACCTTCTCTTTCTGTTTCTTCTCTTCTTCTGCATTCAATGGTTGCAATGCACCTACGGAACAATTAAACAAAGCTATGAAGACTTGCTCCATTTTTGTAACACAATGACACAAACAAAATAGAAACTGCAGACACAAAGAGAAACACAATTCCAGACATAAGAAGCCAAAACATCCTTACCAGAGTGAGGCTTGTAGGTGAGCGGCTTCTGTTTGGAGGCCTTGAGGTCAAAGGTTGGTCTGGGAGCAGGTGAGGTGAAGGTCGAGTTCATTGTAGAGTTCATTGTGGAGTTGAAGGTCACATTGGCACCTGCTGTAAACTTGAAAGGTGTGATGTGCTGACCTGAAAGGTAATAGCAGGGAATTACACAAGTTGACTACACAAGAAGACTACCAGAAACATTACTGTTGAGTAACTTTAAACAAATTATTTTGTGATAACCTTACATGGTACAAAGTTACATGATGACATCTGTACACACTTACCCACTGACTTGCGTGCACTGGCATTGGCAGGTTCTGTTTTGGTGAAGGTTGACGGCAGGGCAGGTAACACAAGCTTTGTGGGGGGCTTCAGTCCTGATGGCCGGAATCTAGAGACACAGAAAAATACATTGTACGTTTGAAGGCTGGAATGTTGTTGGCTGTCCTGATATATCAGTGTTTCCATCATGCCAGCTAGCTTCCTCAGTGATTTGGTACCAGTAGCACCATTCATTATTTTACATGAAAATACAATATATTGCTATATAAAATGGAAAACTGCAATAATACACCCCAAGAAGTTTAAGAACTATTTTGATTTCATCCCACCACTCTTGCATTGAATGCTTAAGTTCACAAAGACACATACTTGACAGCCTTCTCAGCAGTAGTCTTAGGCCTGGCCTGGGAGGATGTGGTACCAGGAGTGGACTTCATGATGGAAGAGGGAGTCTTCCTCACCACACTGGGCCTCCTGGCTACAGGCTTCACTACACGGCCACTCTGTGGAAAAGGAACATGAACATGTCAAGATCAGAGTCGGTGGGACTAGAGATAACCACCTGAAATGGGGATGGCTGAGAGTTCATGTGTCAAATCACTTTAAATTCAACATTGCAGTGAGGGTGATTGCTCGATGAAAATGGTTAATTATTGCTCATTATGTAACCATACCTTGTTGCTTCCGGGTGTCTTCATGGCCAGTGACCTCCTCCCAGGGGTGACACCAGAGGGGGTTCCTGTTACCCGGGGAGTCGGCTTGGTCTTCAGACTCTGCATGGTGGCCTTGGCTTCATCAGCAACCAACTAAGCCATATAATGGTCAACAAACAATAAGTGCCAATTCAAAACAGACAAAGATTTACAATGACTTTTCAGGTACACATGATGACTGCTGTAGCAGTAAGAAAAATCTGAGAGCTAAATAAGCTTGCAATACACAAGAAACAAATTGAAGAAAGACTAATTGCAACTTCAAGATGTCCCTACACTGTAAATGATAATGATTGCCATGGTCTGATGGATACAGGGAACACAGTGTTTCTAACCTTTGCCTTCTTGACAGAAGCAGTGAAAGCGTCAGTCATCTTGCGCTTCCTGGCCAGGTAGTCATCGATGGACTCCATCTTCTTAAAGCTTTTGTTGTGAATCTTGTCCCAGTCCTTGTTTCCTGAAAAAACATCAACATAAGATTTCAAGATTTCCCAAAACACGTTTACACCTCAGACATTATTCAGACTAGTGCTTTTTGTTGCAAAAATCATATCTTGAGAATATCATGTTTGCAACATTACCATACTGTAGTTCCAATAACTTTTTCATTTATTTATCAGTCTGCTTAAGTCATAAGTATATCAAGCCAGCCCCAGCTGTATGTCACTGCAGAAGTGCCTGCTTACCTGGTGTGATGGGTTTTTTGTTACTCTTCTGGAGGTAGGCGGTAAACCTGGGGATACTGGTGGTGCTGCTGGGAGCATTCGGGTCCTTAGCTGGCACTGCAGATGGACAAATGTATCATAATGATAATTATACAGAACTGTTGTTCTAGAAAAAATGCCTTGCCCAATATTGATAAACTACCATTAGTATGGAAACACATCGTTGGCAAGTAAATAAAAGTAAGGTTACATCATGGAATTGCCATTTACAGCAATGAAAAATAAACAACAGAAACCATGTAGAAGGAGCCAATATGAGTGCCTTAGACCAAGATTTCATTTGAAACCCTACAATGCTTAACATGCCATACTCACTCTTAGCATCCACCCTTTTCTTCAGCTCTGCCATCACTTCAGCCTCCAGAGCTGCCTTCTCCTCTGTTCCCATGGCAACTGCATCCTTAGATTCTGTCTCTTCCTCCTCCTTCTTCTCGATCTCAAATGTGTCCCGTTTGATTTTCTTGGCCCGGGGACCAGACGAGCCCCTCTTGCCAGACTGAGGCTTCTCATCATCAGAAGTAGTCGGGGTCTGGAGGGGAGGTAAAGTGAATTCTTTCAGTCAGGAAGAAATAACAAAGCCCGCTACCGGTAGTACTCAATAAAAGATGAAAACCTAAGCATTACTGCATTCATTTATGGGGAAAAGAGTGAAGATCATCTCTGGATCATCATATCAGAGATGTACTGGTAGAATCTACAATCCTACATATACTCTAGAATTCATCTAAATTCTTATCAGGTAAGAATACTAATTACTACATGACTTTTGAGTAAGAATGTGGTAATAGATCTAAAATTCTTGCTGCTCAAGCCTGTTACAACAGAACTACATCTACCTTGGACCTCTTGGACCTGCGTAGCTGAGCAGGAGGAGACTCCAGGGACAGGAGGGGGGTCTGAGGCCCGGCTGCTGCTGCTGCCTTCTCAGCTGTGGTGGGGGTCTTGGACTTGCTGCGACTTGCAGTGGACACCTGCACAGCTGTTGGGGTCTTCGACTTGCTTCGGCTTCTACGTTCAAGTGGTGCTTGTGCAGACGTTGGGGTCTTTGACTTGCTGCGGCTGCGGCGTGCAACGGGCACCTGCGCAGGTGTCGGCGTCTTGGACTTGCTACGGCTGCGACGTTCAGCGGGCTTGTCTGCAGGTGATACAGGACTGACGACCTGTGTGTCACATTGTGAGAAAATTTGTGAGCAAATGTCTTAAAACAACAATAGTGGAGATATCAGAAATATGATTATAGCAACTCATTAGAAAGCAATAGCAGAGTTACTATCAAGGATTGGTAAGGATACAGAGGTCATGCATAGATTAGGCTAGGGTATAATAGCAACACTACATATTTGTTGCTTGTGGAAATAATCATCGCTACATAAACAAGTCCTGTTGTTCTGTGTGAAATTGTCTATGTGTGAAGTACAAGGGATGTTCATAACTCTTCACAGGACAGCAGATCCTGACCAGAAAAATTCTGAATGACACAAAGAATGTGAATGACAGGGAGTCTGATAGTGCACATATAGTATGATGTACTAGTACCTTTTCCAGTTCCGAGTCAGTAGCAGTGGTGTCCACTGGAGTTGAAGCCTTCTTGCCACGCCCTGCCCTGGTCCGACCTCCACGCCCTGGCCTCCCCCTTTTAACCTTGGCTTCTGGTGTCTTCTACACATATAACAGAGATTTGATATTAGCTTTCACTTTCAATTCCCTTTGACCCCTAGCCTGTGATACAAAATTTCTATCTGCCAGAAGCTGTTAGTAGGAATGTGATTTCTAAAGAACATTTCATGAATATCTTCTTCATCCTCAATCAATGTATATAGTCATGTACCCGTTCTGTATTGCTTGTCTCAAAAAATGTTTGTTACTGCATATTCACTTGCAATGATATAGGGGAATATTTGGGGGCACATTGAATTTAGATTATATTTGAAGGAAACAAAATAAAAGTTTAAAACATATTTGAAGCAAACAGACAGTGATTATCCCCTTACCTCCTCCGTGGAGACATCTGTGTTACTGTTAGATTCTACACTGTCAGAGGTGGTGTCCATGGAGGTGTTGACTGGTGCCTCCTTGGCGGCTTTCTTGGGTCGACGACCCCTCCTCTTGGTGACTTTAGCAGGAATCTCCGGCTGAGGAGCTGCTGTCTCCGCACCAGAGTCTGCACTGCTCACATCTGTACAGGTCTGGTGTACAAAAGTATAAATGTATTGTTAATATCATGCATAATGCCAATATAATATTGGTGTATCACATCAATTTTGTATCACAGGCTAGGGGTCTTCCCTCGCACAATCCCCCAATGGAATGCCTTGCCTGGCCCGGTAGTTATGGCTCCCACCGTTGAGTCCTTCCGGGCCAGGCTGGAGGCCTGCCCGCCTTAATCCAAGGCCTCCCCCCCCCCTAAAGTGCCCCATCAGGGGCTATATGGGGGTGTAGACGGGGCTCACATAACATCTTTGAGCCCCAGCAAAGATGAAGATGAAGATGTTGGGAAGGTAAGTAACAGCTGTATTTAAACTACATGTGCCTAACTACAGTCTGCAATTTGTAGTACATGTACATGTAATTGCAATACAGGATTCTCATATTGCAATGAATAGATATGAAGTATCTCTACTCCTAGTCCTATAGTATAGACCATTGTATTCATACTTTTCTTTAACCGAGTGAACATCAATGTTTAATTTTAGGCTTTACTTTTAGGCCAACTTAAAATGTACTGTATGATTTATGACATGTGACATGAAATGGTAACACTTCGCAGCTGGTGTGTTACGCCGAAAGGCGGTTATACCGGCTATACAGATACAGAAATTAACCTTGTAGTCCGAGGATTGTGTTGTGAACTCAGTGTTGATCCCGTCACCACCTTGCTCCTTCCCATGGTACTGCTGTAGAGCACTGATCAAATCATCAGTCTGAAAAAATAATAATTAACAATAATAATTATACTCGTATTATGAGTTAAATAAATAAATAAAACTTTGCATATTAACAGTATATTTCTAATAGTCCACCTGACCACAGATGAGTAGGTCTAACCATAGTAACCTTCAACACCGTGTTTATAGTACTGTGCCCTTTCAGTTTATACGTGAAACTGTTTCTGTCAGAGACCTCATAATTTGGTGAAACTGAAAGTAGTCTTGACACAATATACTAAACCGCAATGAATTGGTGAATAAGGATGACTGTATCAAACATTTATTTCAGCGGACTGGATGGTTGGGAATTCCGAGTATGCAAAATCAAAAGCTCTCATCTTTCAGATTATGCAGAAATGAAAACATAAACGTTTAGCGTGTTTATAATGGGGAGGGGGGCATATAAAAATTTATTTACCTTCATGTTGGCCTTGATCCCAGCTTGTTTGGCCAGTTTCTGTAGCTCGGAACGCTTCATGCTACCCAGAGCATCAACATTAACCTCCTTGGCCGTCATCTTGAGTAAATTTCACCTCAAAATTTCTACTCAACTTGTAGAAAATCAGCAACAAAGCCGAAAAACAAAACACACTTTCGACAAACCGTCGCGTTATTCCGACGCCCAAATTTGAATATGGCGGAAATTTTGTATTGCAGTCGCTGATTGGTTGATTTTTGAAACACAGTCTGTCATTGGTCAAAGAATTCCCAGGGATCCTTGCGCTAGTACTACAATGGACGACCCCCCAGCGATTACAGTTAGAACAGCACAACTTTTGGGACCCAACTTTTGTCTAGAGTAGAGTACTTATTTGCTTTCCACTTTCAAGTGTTACAAACTATTACGTTAGTTTCAAACAGAATCCATACGATTTAAGATAGTACAACTGCATGTGAGTCAATCTATTAAAACGGTATTTACATAAAAGGAAGTTGCAATCCCTAAGGTGATCGCAAGGATCGCCTTACTGGAAGGATCTTGCGTAACGCTCCTTTCCGGCTGTCTGATAGAGGTCAGCGCGTGGCGGCGAACGTGAAAGGCACCTTTGTCTGTGTTTTATAACAAATTCACCATCATGTTCTACAAATTTAGCCAAATGACAGGAAGAATAGGAGCTGCTTCACAACAGGCGGCCTTCAGACCGGAGGTAAGCTCGAAAATGACCGCTCTGGATGGGAAAGTCTATGTTTGCGTGCTCGGATTCGGATACTCGTAAAAAGTGGACGCCATGTTTCTCCGGTTACGAGCGGCGAAAGCCGGTAAGCTGTGCTGTGGGTGTGCCAAACGTCTACAACACAGCCTCTTGGTTTCAATCATCGAAAGAATATCGGTCCAAATGCATATCACTGGTTTCAAAAGGATTTTCTCTTGTTTTCCCTTGCCCGAAACATCAAGGGAAACATATGCAAGTGACCTTCACTGTTGTTCAACTTATGGGGGAGGGGGGCGATGTGAACATAATTTTTGGCATGAGGAATAAATAATTAAATACATTTGTAAAGATTAGCTACGTGTACTTTGTACTCACTGGTTGGTCAGGTGCTCTCTATATATGTAGTCATAAATATTAGTAGAATCATTGGTACATGTTTAACCAGCCAAGTATTGTTTTTACCCTCCATGAAAATGGGGGTATTGTTTTTACTCCGTTTCATGTTTGGTCTGATATCTGAAGATCGGTAAGAAGGAACTGTACGATATTTGGCAGATTGATGGATGGGGCCTTGGAGATTGTGTAGGTTGACTTTGAGCCCCTGGTGATTGACCTTGGTACTGCAGTTTAATTTTTTTATTCTGTTGTTTGCGCGTTATGGACTGTTTGTGCGATATTAAGGTAGCATGTAGTTGTTATTACCATGGTTTAGTGGTTTAAATTTGGGCTTCCTAGCTGTTTGCGTTTGATATTTACAATATGTTTAAAGTTGGTCTTTTTGTGTTGAATGTTTGGAAAATCTGGTGGGTCGTTTGGTATAATATTTGGTATGTGGGTAGTTGTTGAGTCTCTTTGCGTTTTAGAGTGCATTAGCAGGTTGTCGTATATTTTTATTGCTTAATTTAAAAGGATTTTCATTTTTTCACCCCTACTTCATAATAGGATGGTCTGTTTGACCCAAAAGTTGGGACAGATCTA